GAAGAAACCGGCCAAAATTCTCAGGTACAAATTATTACAGCGTGTTACTTGTTCCGTCTCTAAAAATATTCGGTATTTTAAATTTTTAATATATTATTTTCTTAGATACTTTCCTTTGAAACCACGGTTGCAAAGAATGTATATGTCATCAAAAATGGCTCAGCACATGAGGTGGCACGCGACTGAGGAAAACCTAGATGGTAGGTTAAGGCACCCACGAGACTCGGAGGCGTGGAAAGCGTTTGATGCGAAATTTCCAGACTTTGCCAATGATCCTAGAAATGTACGTCTTGCATTGGCAACCGATGGTTTTAATCCCTTCGGAAACATGAGCACAAGTTACAGTATCTGGCCGGTGGTGTTAATTCCATACAATCTACCACCTTGGATGTGCATGAAGCAGAGCTCCTTTTTGCTTTCCATGATCATTCCTGGCAAGAAAGCACCAGGAAATGATATTGACGTATACCTGCAACCGTTGATACACGAATTGCTCGACCTATGGACGAATGGTGTTGAGGCATATGACTCACATGACAAGCAACTATTCAATCTCCGTGCAGCCTTGATGTGGACAATAAGTGATTTTCCCGGTTTGGGAACTTTGTCTGGCTGGAATGTGCATACTGGGTTGGCCTGTCCTGAGTGCAATTTTGATTCTGTGCCATGTCGCCTTCCACACAGTCGCAAGTGGTGCTTCATAGGACATCGACGGTTCCTTGATTCCAAGCACAGACTTAGATTGCAACGGATTCGCTTCGATGGGAAACAGGAGAAGAGAGATCCTCCTGTTACTTTGTCTGGTATGGATATTTTGCGGCAGTTAGAAGATGTTCATATCGAGTTTGGTAAGAGTGTGGATCCCGAACGATTGGGACGACGATCTCGTGGGACATCTGATACGCAACCTATGCAATGGCGGAAGAGAAGCATATTTTTCACTCTTCCTTATTGGGAATCTAATTTGCTACGACACAGTTTGGATGTTATGCACATTGAAAAAAATGTGTGCGATAATGTGCTATATACGTTGCTCAATGAAGCTGGAAAGTCCAAAGACCATCTCGCAGTTAGAAAAGATTTACGGGCCTGGGGAATTCGTGAAGAGGCTTGGCCTGATGAAAACGACAAGTTTCAGCCAGCTAAATTCACCTTGACAAAGCAGAACAAGGATATCTTCCTCTCGACGTTGAAGAACATAAAAGTACCAGATGGATATTCTAGCAACATCTCAAGGTGTATCGATCTGCAGGCTCGAAAGGTTACTGGGTTGAAAAGTCATGACTCTCATGTTCTTATGCAACAGTTACTTCCATTGGCCTTGAAAAACACACTTCCTTCTGATGTATCGGTGGTTTTGGTAGAATTATGTTCATTTTTCAAGAAGTTGTGTGCGAAGGTCTTGGTAGCGGAAGAGCTTGATCAGCTGCAAAATAAAATTATTCTTACACTTTGTCACTTGGAGATGATATTTCCTCCATCATTCTTTACTGTTATGGTTCACTTGACTGTCCACCTTGTTCGAGAAGCAAAGGTTGCTGGCCCAGTTCACTATCGATGGATGTACCCTATAGAGAGGTACTAGATTATCTTTTATTCCCGCCTCTTTAAATTTCACATTGTTCTTTCATTTACTCGTAATTATTAATGCAATTTTAACTTACAGGTACTTGGGAAAATTAAAATCATATGTTAGGAATAAGGCATGGCCTGAGGGGTCAATAGCAGAAGGTTATTCCGGAGATGAGGTCCTAACTTTCTGTTCGAGGTACTTTGATGACATGGAGACATCTTTTAACCGCCCGCGTCGCGTAGATGATTCTCCTCCCGGTCCTTCCACGTCAACTTTATTTCCTCCTGTTGGGAAACCAGTTGGAGGATATGAATTCTTCAGACTCACTCCTACAGAGAAACTCCAGGCACACAGACACGTTTTGATAAATTGCAGCCAAGTTGAACCCTTCATGCAGTAAGTATATATATCATATAAGCTCACTAGCTTTTACACTTTATATTTGTTTCTTACTGACTCTTCTAACAAATTACACTTTACTATAGTGAGTTTAGGAGTTATCTCAGGCGTCAGCTACGGGGCCGTGCGCGTTCTGCTGACATTGATAAAAGAGTCCACAAAGAGTTTCCCAGTTGGTTTACACGTCGAATACGTAATGACAACAGCCCATACACAGATGAATTCAGAGCTCTTTCTCTCGGTCCGTTAGACCATGCACGAAGGTTTACCACGTACAATGTCAACGGCTTCAAGTTCTGTACGGTTGCACGTGATCAGGGATTGCTCACACAAAACTCTGGAGTTTGCGGGACATTCGGAACGAGATGTTATGCTAGCAGTAGTGATGGCGATATGCGCTTTGGAGGCGTCACTTACTATGGAAAGCTAATTGACATTATTGAGTTGACTTGCCAGCTTTTCACCGTGACACTGTTCAAATGCTCCTGGGCAAATACGACAACTTCACGGGGACTCGCTACTGACCATTTGGGCATCACCTCAGTCAATTTCTCTAGACTTATTCATACGGGGGCATCTGAAGATGATGAGCCATATATCCTTGCTTCTGAGGCACACCAAATTTACTATGTCGAGGACGAGAAACATAAAGACTGGAATATGGTCGTTCACCTCAAGCCACGGGATCTTTACGATATGGGTGATGGTGACATTATTTACGACAGTGAACCCTTCCAACCCTCGAATTTTGAAGACTTCTTTCCTCAAGGAGATGATAATTTGCCACTTATCAGGTACACGTCTTTTCTTAAATTATTTAAATAATTAACTACTAATTACTAATTTTTTCCAAATACAACATAAATTTAACAAATTTTTTTAAAATATGTCCTTTCAGGCCGGATGATGATGGAGAGTAGCAGCATCCAAAATAAATTATTTAACAAATTTTTCGTCCATAAATACATATGTATAAATTAAAATTCGTAAAATTTTTTTAAAAATAAAAAAATTTCATTTGTAGCGGTTCATAACCGCTACAAATTTTTTCACGAAATTGTAATTTGTAGCGGTTAATAACCGCTACAAATTACAATTTCGTGAAAAAATTTGTAGCGGTTATGAACCGCTACAAAATACATACCTGTAAATTAAAATTCGTTCAGATTTTTAAAATAAAAAATACTAAATTTTTAGCGGTTAATAACCGCTACATATATAACCGCTACTAATTACTAGCGCTTATATATACGCTAGAAAATGAATAACAGCTACAAAATGTTATAAAACGCTACAAAAACACCGCTACAAATGTGTCGCTGATCTCTATAAATACCATATCTTCTCTACATTCATTTACTCCATCTCTTTTCCTTCCTCTCCTATTCTTCTTCATAATTCTCTCTTTTTTTCTTACTATCTCATATTGTGGTTTTTTTCTCTTTACTCTATGGTAAGTGAATTTTATTTTATAATTCATTGTATCTTTTATTTGTTTTTATTTAAAATTTACTAACATATTTATTTCTCCTTTCCTTTCAGATTTTTCTTCTCCACATTTGTCATGCCCTCCTCAACTGATTCAAATACTCATCAACTTAATACTATAGGTTTAATATTCCAAAACATATCATCTTCAATTCAGCTATCTTATTAAATATTCAATTAAATTATCTTATTAGATTAAATTCACTTCTTTTAACACATTCATAATTTAATTACATATTTTTTATTACAAAATTTGAATATATAAAATGTAACATATAACTAATTATACAAATTAACAAAAATTCTTCAAAATAATTTATTTAATGGTTTTTAAAATTATAATATGAAAAACCATAAATTTTTTTTTCTGGCACGGTAAACATTTCTAGCGGTTCAGAACCGCTAGAAATATTTCGTCAAATTTAAATTTTGCGCCAAAATTTCTAGCGGTTAAAAACCGCTAGAAAAGTTTCCCGCCATTCTTAAAATTCAATTGGTGTGAAAATTTAATTTCCCAAACATTTCTAGCGGTTCTATAACCGCTAGTAATTTTCGCGCGCTACTGAAATTATTTAATTCCCGTTTAGCAGGTTTCTAGCGGTTATAAAATCACTAGTAATGTGTCTCCTTCAGATATTTTCTAGCGGTTCGGAACCGCTAGAAATTTTCTATCGTTTTGACCATGATGTGTAGCGGTTGCGATAACCGCTAGAAATTTTTTCTAACACCTGTTTTTCTAGCGGTTTCCTTAACCGCTACAAATGTTATTTGTTGCGGTTAAAACCGCTAGAAATGTAACACCATAACCGCTAGAATTAACATATTTTTTTGTAGTGACAGTTGATAATTACAAAGAAAAAATATAATGTTTGAGTCTGATATGATTTTGTCTTATTTAATAATTACAAGGAAAGATGTATAGACAAAGAAAATCTAAGGTATGAAAGAACGTTTGATTCCTTTTCATCAACACAGGAAATGGAAAGATACACAATACTTGGTGTTCTCCATCCTATCACCTCGCACTTATTTCCTTTAAATGATAAAAAAGAAAGAAACAAACCATTGTAAATGTAGAGATTAGTCACCCAACACTCCATTATAAATAATATAATAATTAGCCCTAGTCGTATCAGACAATTGTATAGGCCAACAACATACTTTATATGAAATTATTACTTATACTGGAAGTACAAACATATGATATAGAATGAAATGTGTGTTCCCATGAAATTTGAACAAATATTTAGGCAGCATATTAAATAAAAATATGAAGTGAAAATACCCCATTCAAATGATATCTAAATTTTCATTGTTAATGTCATCATATTAATACAAAAAACAAAGTAATAGCAAAAGAACAGCATGGATATGAATCTGAAGATATTATCACTTTTAAAGTTTCAATTTACCTGCCAGCTCAAAGGGAGAAAGTCATAATCACTACACATTCACAAAATATTGCATATATGAAATGGTTACCTACTACATATATGTTTGTATATGCACAAGCATGGATCAATACTGACCTAGGTGTCTCTCAATTCAAAAGGTTAGAGAAGACTTTCTTATAAACAACATTTGAAGTTTTATTGTTGGGAGTGCCTTTGTCATCAAGGAGCAATATTTTTAAACCTTCCCGTCGCCGCACTCGTGAGATAGCAACGTATAACTGACCGTGTGTAAAGACAGGACGAGGTAGAAATAATCCTACATTGAGAAGACTTTGACCTTGACTCTTGTTTATAGTCATTACAAAAGATAGCATTACAGGAAACTGTCTTCTACATAGAGTGAAAGGCAAAGACGTCTCAGATGGTGTGATGGTTAAGCGTGGAATCAAGACATGCATGCCAGTATTGCTTCCTGTGATAATCTCAGCTCCTATTACATGTTTCTCCAAACATGTGACAATTAACCTAGTCCCATTACAAAGACCTATGGATTTATCAATATTTCGCATCAACATTATAGGAGCACCGACTTTAAGGCTTAGCTTGTGATTTGGCAATCTAGACATTGTGATTGTATTTAAGAATTCAACCGAGTGTATTTCTGCAATGGAACTGTTGGCACCATCTGATTTGCAGACACTGTCAGCACTAAGATAATTGACTTCCTCACCTGGTAGCTTTGCAAGCATATAACTATTCAATTCATAAACAACAGATAATGTAACTGTTAGGATAGCACGATCCCTGAAGTAAGACCCATCGCCTAGGCAGTCAACCAAACTTGGATATGTACTGTCAATAATGCAATCCATAGGATTCCCTAATGGAAACAATAACAAATCTCTAGGTATGGTAATAACATCTTCTGTGTCAGGTTCAATGTCAACATTGCCATCTCCAACAGAAATAATCCATTCTGAAAACTTTGTTACTGCATCTACATCATCTGTGTAATGACCTTTGGTTAGTCTCATGTTTTTAGTCAGTGTGAAGACAATGGATTCATTCCACAAGTATGAAGCATTAATAGTAGCAAAGACAATGTCTTCACGCCCACCTCGTGGTATGACAGGAAGTATTTGCCTAAAGTCTCCTCCAAGCACCACAGTTTTTCCGCCAAATGGTTTTCCTATAGCATTAGGATCATTTCTTCTAATGATGTCTCATAATGTTCTATCCAATGCTTCAAAACAATGCCTGTTTGCCATTGGTGCTTCATCCCATATTATTAAGGAGGCTTGAATTAAAAGCTCTGCTAGTGGTGTTCCCTGTTTAATGTTGCAAACTGAATCTTCGGTGATGGCAAGAGGGATTGCAAATTGTGAGTGAGCTATTTTACCGTTAGGTAATAGAAGTGATGCAATGCCACTCGATGCAACAGTAAGAACAATCCTCCCTTCAGATCTTAATGATGCACATAATGTTTGCCATAAATATGTTTTCCCAGTTCCTCCATATCCATAAACAAAATACAGCCCTCCCCGCACATTATGAACAGTGTCAATTATTGTATTGTAGATTGTACTCTGCTCTTCTGTTAAGTTTCGAAGAAAGACATGTAATTGCTCCTTAAGGACATTACGATCAAAATCTAACTCAGCCAGCACCAATTTATTGACCGCTGATACATTTAATGATTGAGCTGGATAAGGCATTATTGGATAATCTTGAAGACTTCTCCCATTAAGTTGTAGCAAATCTTCAATTTTATGTAAAGCATGGTCTTGCAATTCAGCATCACTAAGAGAAAGTCCTGTTTGATCATAGAATGACATCTAAATTGTAATGGTTGTTGAAATAACAATTAATTAACAAAACAATATAAAATAACAATGAGATGTGAGAGAATAATTTTTTAAAAAAAGAGTGTAAATATGGGGGGACGCATACCAGGATGGCCTGTCAACTGTTGTTGGGTATAAAGTATGTCCTCTGCCATTAATTTCCATGATTGCTGCCACACAATTTCAGGGCGTGATATACAGTTACATAGTAACAATGTGCAAAATAGGCGACGAAGGTAATTTGGAGTGGCCCACTGATTTGCCTCCTGAATAGCATCAACGTACTCTTTGTCATCCTCTAGTAACCCTAGGGCATAGCAAGCATCCCTAAATGTAGGATGGAGGACATCATCAACAGTTCTCAATTCCTCAAAAGATCTTGGCCCTTTAACAGTTGCTAACAACATACGAAGATAAAAGGCTTCTCCAGTGCCAGGGGGAACATAGAATATTCTTCCAATAGAGAATCCTGTTTTTCTAAAGTCCCAATAATGACCAGGTTTTTTGAACACAAATTTGGTTGGGAATTCAGAGTATGTTAAAGCACGTGCTTCATCATATTTTTCATTTGCCTTCATCCAAGCTTGGAACATTGTTGGTTTGCCTTCATTATGGTTAACCACATCATCAAGGTTAGCTTCATCTGCATAAATAATTGTTTGTTGATTTGGTAGGTGGAAGGAAAGTCTTTCAACTGATGGAGTTCTATAGTTTATATCAAAGCCAAAAATCCTCCAAACAGCTTCACATGGAGACAAATACCGAACATCATAGTACATTTTAATTTCATCATGAACAACTTCCCTCTCACCTGATGAAGACTCATCGTAAAAGGCTATGGTAGCTCGATCATGACCCTTACTCACATATTTGAACAAATACTTAATTGATTCCCCATGTTTACATCTCTCAACATTTAAATGAGCCTGATATTTTAACAGCAATGTAGGGTTGTAAGGAATCACACTCCTATTGTCTAATGGAACTCCATTTTTCAAAATATATTGACCATTGTTCAGTCTTTTATAATGGGGATACCCATCTTCATGAATGATCGTTCTGGAGTTAAAAGGCTTTGGATAGTATGTAACATCCAAAAAAATATATATATTTAGATTTTAGTTTATTAAAATGAGATTAATTAATTATCATTGAAGCTAATCTTAATTACGGGTAGACTACTAATTAATAAATAACAGTTAAATAATAATTAATATATATTTTAAATATATATAGTAATAGTGGGTGGCACGCGGCCACCCGCTGTTTGTTTTGGGGGAGGGGAGTTAATCCCCGGTGGGCCGTGACCCACCTTTAAAAAAAAAAAACACAATACACTAAAGGTTTGAATAAGGGGTCACATGACCCCATAATTGAATCATTTTTCCCTTCTTCCTCCTCCGTCCAGTGCCTTTCGTTCCTCTCCGTCTTCGCTGTTCTTCTGGTTCGCTGAAACAGTAAGAGGTAGTTTGAGTGTGTGAGAAAGGAAGGACTCTACTTGGGTACATATAAGATATTTAGGTAAGCTATTTTTATCCTACTATTTTTATTTAGCTTTTTCTTTTTATTTATGTAAGTTTATGGCAGAAAATAAGATGTGTTAAGGCTTGATAGATTTTTAATGATTTGAGGCTTCTAACTTATTTTGATGATATTAATGGAGCCTATGGGGTTAGAATAGAAGCCTTATGACTTAGATTTTTAGTTGATGGTTGATTTGAGGCAATGTGAGTTAGGGATTGGTTGGGAAATTGTGATTTGTGTTAATGATGATATTAATTTCGAAATTTATCTCTTAGTTGAGTTCATTTGAGGTTATATTGAGGATCCAATATTTAAACTTTGAGGATTGTTGTTGAAATAGTAATGTTGATGTTTCTTGGAGAGACTTTAATTAGTGGAAGTTGGGTGTTTGGAGGAAATTGAGGAAAATATTATAAGTTATTGATTCTAATGAATGGAAAATGATTAATGGAAGAACGGAATAGGATTTTAATAATGATTGAAGGCATAGTTGACATATGGTTATTTTCCTAAGAGTTAAGGTAAGCACTTTTTGGAGGTTTTTAGATGATTCGAATGGATTATTCTTATTAATAATGTGAATGAGAGAAATAGAGTTGGGAAGTACTAGAAATTGTCACTTGGAAAAAAAAATAGATGAATTATTATTTTTCCTAAAGATAATTTTTTTTAGGGTAAGCCAATTATGGGGATTTAGTTAATAAACTATTCTAATGCTATATTAATTAGTCTTTTTATATTAATAGATGTTTATCAATTTATTATTGTAGAGTAAGCTTGGTTTGGGCTCTTAGGTCTTGAATCCCCCTACTCTTAGTTCTTGTGTCAAGAACTTGAGGTAACCACTTTCTAATTTACCTTGTATGCTTGTTGATGTGATTATAAGCATGTGTTGATATTACAAATGTTATCAAGATGTGTTATGGTGGTTTTTGTATGAAAAGTAATCTATATATCTAAATCAAGATTTATGTTTTGATAAATTTATTAGTTAAGTGGGCATGAATTATTTCATCTTATGAATATCTTGTTGATGTTGAACAAATTTGATTATTGAATCTGAGAATACTTTATGGATATGAAATTGTGTGGAATTGGATGGTTGGATTGGGCTGTGTTGGTTGTGCTGAAATGTAGTTGTGGGAGGTCTGATTAATTATACCACGTGGTATAGCCGCCACTTGGCGCCCAGTGGTTGGCATTAACATTCTTAGGGCCCTCGGTATCACCCTTCCTTTGGCCGGGTTAAGGGTTAGCCCAAGGGACATGACACCTTTCCATATTCCAAGGAAAGAGAACCCATGGTCCGATATGAGCTCTGTAACTTTTGGCCGAGTTACACCTCATTATTGGAGAGCTTGGTGCAGTCTTGTAAAAGAGACGAATCCTATTATGTGTGTATAGCCCATGGGTTCTGTCAGAGGTTACAAGGAGGTTATAAGGATGGTTGATGAAGTTCTATGCATGCAAGTTACTCTTTGAATTATTATATATTGTTTTCTGTAAAGATGTTTAACTTATATGTTATTTGAAGTTGTACTTTGCCCGCTTAACTATCTTGTAATCACTCCCTGGATACTTGTTGAATTAGAATTGTGGTTACTGGGTCAATTTGACTCACCCCGTGGTTATTTAACATTTTTCAGGCGAGGGTTCAGGTGTTGGTCCCAAGGGGAAGGTGTTCGAGGCTTGAGTTTTCCTTTCCACTCTGTATAGCCTTTATTTTGATATACATGATTTGACTGATGTATATTGCCAAACTTTAGGGCCTTTTTGTTATACTTAACATGCGTTTAATGTTCCGCTGCATTCTAGACTTGAGTTATCGGGCAGAGCCCTTTTTGGATATAGGTGACTGTTATTTTGATTACGATTGTTATGGCCAGTGGTAGCAGTTATTTTGGTGGACCGAAAATGCTACAGTCCATTCATGATTGGTCTTAGTTATTTTTGAGATTTTAGAGATTCATGATGGGATTTGTTATACACATGACAAATCAAGTATTAATTACTTCTTGTTACATTAATTATCTTTACTACTTTAGATTAGTGGCTACTACATTGTTATGAATGTATATTGTTAATGACTATGGTAAATTTCTATTTGATTTATTTTGTCTTTCCTAACACAGTTAACCTTTCGAAGTAATTATTGTTTTGAAAATGTTTAGTTACCATGAATCACGAAGGGGTTGTTTCATAGTATTTGGAACACTTGCCATTAACCATGCATGGAGATTTTGGGTTAGCTAAACCACATGGTCCATGCATCATGTAGTTACTAACAGCTTCAAACAATTCTGGCTGTTCATTTTTATCCAGTATTTCAGCACTAATGACTCGATCAATTTCTTGAGGAGAATCAAGATGGGATTGGTTTGCTAGAAACAAAATGATGTGAGCATGGGGAAGGCCTTTCTTTTGAAATTCAATTGTATACAATGCTGTAAAAAATTTAGCAACATATGAGAAAGATGAACAACTGTAATATAATTTTGAACCACCTGACCATTACTCATTTGTGAAAAACAATAATGTAAAGAAGATTATAAGATATGGTTAATTTAATAATATGCAAACTGACCTGCTTTAATAGGACCAAAAATATCACCCTTCTTCAAATCTTGCATGAGATGCTCCAATTTCATCTTGAAAACTCTTGTTAGAAAATCTGGACGGTCTTCAAGTCGTAAATCTTCTTCTTCTAAAGCTCTTGTTATTTCTGGCCATTTTGGGTTGCAGGTAAATGTGATAAACAGTTGAGGATAACCAGCCCAATTGCAAATTGCTATTGCATCTTGATAATTATTCATGATGTAACGTGCTCCTCCAGTAAATGATGAAGGAAGGATGATCCTTTTTCCCCTTGCAGCTGCATCAGTCTCACCCAACAACAAAGCATCTGTTAACCCTTTATACATTTCTGCTCGTAGTTGTTGTTGATTATTCCTTATGAAGGTTAGCCTATATGATTCTATCATTGTGTATGCATCAACAACAAATTGTTGGAAAAGTTTCCCACCATGCAATATTGAAGAATATTCAGTATTCCTGTCCTGTATCATATAAGCAAAATACTCACGCATAGAAACATAGGTAATCTTGGCTACTGGTGCCTCTCCTCTTACCACATGAGGTATTTTTTCATCATACCCCCCTTCACCATATGGAAATAACAATGGATACTGTAGAGGCAGAAAGTCAGGATGATTTTCATGTATCCTATGTAATAATCCTGTCTTGTATTGAACGATGATATCTCGACCGTATTCAATGGATCCAATATCTCCTACAATTAAAGCAGCTATCTCATTTTCAGAGGTTGGCATATCATATTGGCGGACATTTCTCCCACGCCTATGCATAAGTCTAATTTTGATAGTTTGTCCCTCATGAGCATGAATATAATCATGAGCCCGACGGAATACTTTCACTAACTTATTGTGCTCATCTAGCATATTCTGTAGCATCTGTACAAGAGAAATATCTACTGACGATGATGTGCTACTATCTCCACTGAAAAGCAAATAGTGATAATTAGGAAAAAGGAACAAATGATTTAACATGTCTGTAATAAGGACAAACAATAAGCAAGTAATATAAGTTGATCAAATCTCACTATTTGTACCTTGTTGCAGAAATTCTGTTGGCAACTTCATTGGATGTATCATATATGTACAACTGAGCAAATTTTGGAGTAGCTCCATCTGTAGGGAGTATGCTACCAATCAAATGCATATTTTGACCACTCAGCTTATACACATAAGGTGCACGTCCATCATTAACATTTCTATCTATTTTTCCACCCATAGATGTAAAAGCAAACATCATATTATATGTCCTAACATACATACGAAAATGATTGCTTTGTGGGTGATGTCCAGCTAATAAGTTGAACAATTGAACTGGTGGATCTTGAAAAGTAGGAAGCGGTACTTTGCCTTGAAGGCAACACATGCCAAATCTTGGTGGATTCTCATTTCGGTATTTTCTAAGTCGTTCATCATACCACATCTTTGCACCACAATCAGGACAAATGTAAATGCGGTCACCAAGATCTTCATAAGTTGGTAACTCTATAGGTAGTAGTAATGCATTGTCATATAAATTACATAGGAAAAATTCTACACCTAAAATATTTAATTTAGGTAAATTGAAAAAAATGACATATATTTGGTGTATATAGTACCTTGATTGTTACCAGCTGAGCCTCCAAATGGCACAGTTTTTTGGCATGTATTTTCTTTATATGAATGTTGATGGAGGTGGGAACTTTTCCTACGACGGATATGAAGCCGTTCTAATCTTGATGCAGCGGGATTAATGTTGTCTATTGACCATGTGTGGGGAGTACCAGAAAGATTTGCCATTGATATTATGATTGAGTTGGGCAAAAGCAGACAAAGAAGTAGTAGATGTGAGAAAGTTACACACTACTGAAATATATGATTGATATATATGGCAACAGGGATCGCAAATTATGAGTGAGCTGTTTACCGTTAGGTAATAGAAGTGATGCAACGCCATATATAAACAAAAGTGAATAACTCAATAACATTTATAATATACACTACCGAAATACTATTACTTGTGAAATTATCCACTTCAATATAGGAGGCAATGGGAAATGAACTATTATTGGAATTCAATCATCAATATCACAGCTAAGATAATCTACGTTCAAAATGCAAATATTCGATATAAGTATTTTACAATTAAACGCTTACATTCATGTTGAATAGGTGAACGCTAAAGTTAAATTTGATTCGTGTAATCATCAAATGAATTATTATAAGTTTTCATATGCCATCCCTTTGGAAACTTGATATTTTGTCATACATATTCTAAATAAATTGAAATTAAAATTTGCACAGTTTGAAATAATTAAATAATGTGTGTTGAATTGAATTTTATTTAAAAATAAAATAATGTGGTGTAGTATAAATAATAGAAATTCATGTTATCTTAACAAAATAAAACAATCTAACCAACTATGATTTTTTTAATGAAAAGATGCTAGACACAACTGTTTGGCCAGAAGGTGCGGATAACCCAAAAAAAAAATCCAATATTATTAGTCTTATAACTAATACTACTTCCAATAACTCACAATCAAAATAAATAATATTACGTGTCATTATTTCTTGTTGGGAATAAGGCCTATATAAATTGTAATATACTTAATATACCCATTTAACTAATTTGATTAGATTAAGGAATTAGGTAAGTTATTAATTATAAGCAAAGTGACACATTTTTAAAACACCATAATCATCTTAATCTCTACTTGACTATGATTGAGAGAATATCTATAGGGGTAATTTATAAAATTGATAAATGAGAAATGGGTCTTATATTTAGGACCAAATCAAGAATTAGGTCCTATATTAAGGACAGGATATATTATCAAGATATTGGCTTTACATAATAGTTCTCAAGCTAGAAAAACAAAGTGAATAACTCAATAACATTTGTAACATATGAGAGTGAGGCAACATTTAATCATGGAGAACTTTATCTAATACAATAGTTATCATCAGCATAATGCGCACATTAAAGTATTAATAAACAATTCAGTTTCAAACACGTACGGTTAGTGATTGTGGTCATTGCAGCTCGAGAAGGAATGATTCTTGCTTTCTTGAGACGTGGAGATTCCAGGCATGTATTTGAATTTTCTGTAAAAACTTTGTATTAGATTATATAGGAATGGAAGTTTATAATGAATGTATAGTAGTGTTACCCTTGTCCAATTTATATGCGTCATTGTTAAAGTCAGAACGTCTCTCTCTTTTCCTTCTGAGTATATGAAGTCGACGAGCCCGCGCTAAAGCACAAGAATCTCCTAACAAAGTTAAGTATACATGATTAGAAGGTGGAAAAAGCATCAAACGTTATTAACTAAACTAAGGATCACGTGTAATATATTGTATATAACAGTGACACCTTAATTATTTGAGAAAATTAGGACTACATATGTATATAAAAAATAAAATGCGTGAATTCTCAAGAAAACTTAAGGTAGCCAAATGGGTGTAAAGGTATTCACAAATGCTGCCTGGTGAAGGTTGTAACAGTATGAAATCAATAGTAAAGTACTACAGCAAATACATTAAATAGGCTGAAAAAAGCATACTACCAAATTGAAACCAAATGAACTAATAAATGCACCTTCATTTAAGTTAATTCCATGGAGGGTCCCAGCAGGAATTCTTTTTTGCTTGTTGGAACTACTGAGGATATTGGGGTCATCATGGACAGCATCAAAATTATGCATATTGTTTCCGTGTAATGACAATAAAATAGCTTAGAAGGAATCGAAGAGGATTCAGGGCTCCTCAAACTGTCAACAATGTTGGAATGATGTAGATTATGAGAATCACAACCATGCACAGAAAAATAAAATTGGAAGTTTCCAAGAAGCAAAATAGTATATGTCCTCTAGAAAATCATGGGAGAGACCGGTGATATCATGTACACACCCACAAAGCGTAAATACCAGGACATGCATGATGTAAAATTGACAGTTAATTAAATACAATTTAAAAACATTTATATCTGTTTATTTTTGGCGGAAAAAATTTTGCTAATGGCAGGAAAAAGTAATCTGTATATTGTTTGTTACGATGATAATCATATGCATGCCTTGCCGAATTCGAATTTGGAAAAAAATCATGAATTGTCATATATAAATGTTAAAGCATTGAAATCTTCCTAATTATTTATCACTAATATCCATCATGTTCCATGGAAAATTATACAAAACCACCAGTTGAAATTTATATTGAGCAAAAGGATTTTTTAATAAAATGTAATTACTTGAAAGGATCAAATACTTAAAACATAAATTGAAAAGAAACTACCTCAAGCCAAATATCCTAACCTTCCTCATATCTTCATAATTTTTTTTTAAAAAATGAGAAAAATAAAGGTAAATCCACCCATTATACAACGATGATATTATATATTTTTAGCACTCTTTTTATGAAGATTTGTATCCGCCATATCTATGTACAATACATCACTTAATTATTAATATAAGTAGGAATTGATTTATACCATTGTTTCGTTACTTTTTGTCTTACTTATAGTACTTTATATTTCATATCACTAGCACATTACCCATGCGGTATGAATTAGTACTTCTCATATACTATAAAATGTTTAATCATTCTCGTATAGTATAAAATGTTCAATCACTATATAATGATTATTTAAAATTCATATATATGATTTTGTCACGAACAAAATATAGATGGTTTTGTCACGGACAAACACAATTGGTATATATGCTTAGGATATAAAATTATAAAAAGTCTCTTTGTAAGTAAGATTGAAGGTTTTTTTTTTAATTTTATTTTACGCTTCTATCATCTAAGATCATTTTTTTTCAAAACATTCAGAGCATCATTCCTCATAAGTGTTATACATACTCTTATAATATGTTTTGGTAAAATAATAACCGATCTTTGGTGGTCCATAATCAAGGAGCTCTCTCTTCTTGAACCCTGCAACTTTAACAGCTATCATGCATATATAATTTTGATGCAAAAAAAAAATCATAAAGTAACTACTGCTTAGGCATAACCACGAGTTTTATAAAGAATAAGTAAATAAGAAACAAAATATAGTCTTATAAAAGAGAAGCAACTAACTATAGAACATGCTGCATTTAATAGGAATAGTCAATTTATACCATTGCAACCCATCACAAAAGGTTCAGTGAAATATACATGTAGGGGATCTTGTATGTGCGTGAGAGCATGGGAATTTAGATTAGGGTAGTAAGAGCTATAAGCACTTCAAATTAAACTCTCGGAAGCAAAAACATATGGACCACGGCAGAGAAGTTGGATGAATCAAATCATGAAATAAATGAATGCAGCAAATGAATCACTTTGAAGGGATGGCTGACCTCTATTGTCACCAACAAATGAATCCCACAAGTAGATGAAGGAAGAAAAAGAAATAGAAATCTTGGAAATTAAACTCCCTCTTTTCCAGGCCATCCAAAAAAAATCATGGAGATGATGATCCGCTCAGGAGCACTGTGGAGAAGAAAAATATCCAAATAAGAACAACAAACACAATGAGATGATGAGAGAGAGAGAGAGCAGAGAAGAGTAGACATAATGACAATGGAACCTGTAGGCTTTGGCTCACAGGACTAAGTTTGAGCATTTGATAAAAATTGTTGGGAAGAAGCGGCTTCACAGAAGGCCATTTGAATCATTCAACAAATTCCCCGTTTTGTAACTTCTCATATATGATTTAAAATTCAAATTTAAAAATTTAAAAAAAAATCATGACTTTCTGATAGAGTTCCGAGTTGTGGCTTTAACGGAAAAAAATGAAAAAAATTTAAGAATAACATGGGGATGTGGAGAAAGTGGGCAAAAGGTGATGGAAGTTACTTCACATTGCACTAAACTTTTATTTTTAAAAGCTATGTAAACCTCTATTAAAATATAAAACTAAATTGTACAAATTCTTTTAAAATGGATTAAAATTCCGTAATTCATCTACTTTTTATCCATATATAAATCTTCTTTAAGTAAAATAATTATTTATAAAATAATGCTAACTTTTACTAAAAATATATAACTTTTATTATATACGATCGTTCAAAACAATTTATTTTTTTATATAGATAAAAAAACTTTATTTTTCTCATGACTCAACAATGTTTATATATTCTTCAACGGGTTTTTAAATATGCATTAGCTTTAACAATAAAATGGAGGATAGAACAGTGGAGAAAATGTAGGAGATATGGATATGGATAATAATGTATATCTATATTTAAATGTTTGATTGTTTCACGTAATTATAATTTTTATTATCCTGCCCAATCTCCCTCCTGATTCTTTTCTCTAATTTTTCCCATGATCCTGATATTCTAATTTAAGTTAAATTGATAAATTTATTATCTTATAAAAAAGAGCAGCTTGTAATTGGTTGAAAAAAAATAGCATTTTATTAACCTGCAATGCTTATTTTAATTGAGCAAAAATGAAAAAAAAATAATAAAAACATGAGGATGCAGAGAAAGTGAGTAAAAAGAGATGGAAGTTACCTTAAACTACCCGCTTAATTGCAGTTTTATTCGAAATGGAAGAGGATATCATGATTCTGAATATGGCCATCAGTTTTGAGGTGATTGAGATCATGATAATAAGAATGGGAAGTTTTCAGAAAGCAAAATAAATAAAATATCCTCTAGAAAGCCACCAGAAGGCAGATATTGATTAAAATGAAGACCCTAACATCGGATATGAGTTATATAAATATAATAATACATTAAATATAAATAAAAAATCTTTATAGTTGTTAGTACTCTAATTTTATATAGTTATAGATTAACATTACATTAACCTTTTATTGTTAAAAGTTATATAAACCTCTTTTGAAATTTAAAACTAATTTGTACAAACTCTTTTAAAATGGATAATAAAATTCCGTAATTCATCGACTTTTTATCCATATATAAATCTTCCTTAAGCAACATAATTATCTATAAAATAATGCTAGCTTTTACTAAAAATATAGGATCATTCAAAAAAATGTATTTTTTTATATAGAAATCAAAACTTTATCTTTCTCGTGACTCAACAATGTTTATATATTCTTCAACCGGTTTTTAAATATGTATTAGTTTTGAAAATAAAATGAAGGATAGAATAATGGAGAAATTTTAGGAGATTTGGATATGGAAGATAATGTATATTAAAATAAATATTTAGATTCAAATATTAGATTGTTTCACGTAATTATAATTTTTATAATCCTGTACAATCTCCCTCCTGATTCTGTTCTCTAATTTTTCCTATGATCCTGATATTCTCATATAAATTAAATTTAAAATTTATTAGCTTGATAAAAAAGAGCAGCTTGTAATAGATTGAAAAAATAGCATTTTATTAACCCTCAACGTTTATTTTAATTTAGTTCATTAAAAATCAGGTAGAAATTTTGTTTCATAACACTTATAGGATTTAAAAATAGCGCGTTAAATAGGAGACTTGGATATGTGTTGAACGTGAAGAAAAAGTAGAGCACAAATTCAATAATAATAGATCATGGAATGAAACGCATAAAAAGAATCTAAACATTAAGGCTAATCCTAAATAGATGTTTCTCACAATAAACACAAACAAATTATGCAGTAGAACCAAATATACTAATTGCAAAACCATGTCTCAGCTTTTTTCGCACACATCACCGCCAAGGAGTATCTCTAGCTCTCTTAATTAAACTGGTCTTTCTCCTTCGAAGTCACTGTGCCCATCTATGTATTATCTGAAATATCGCGTGCACTCTTCTCATCAGAACCCATCAATGATGCTTGTATTTCCTGGGAGAAAAAATAGCTAGTAATAAAAGATTTAACTCTATATCAAAGAGTCTAAAAATAGTCAAGACTTACATTATCTTTAAGGTTCAGATTCTCAGCACCTAACTGTAATCCCATGTCGCCATCAATTGTATCCAAATGCAGCTTTATTATATCACTGTTGTTGGTCATCCTCATTACACTGCATTTTGCTGATCGACCCATGACAAATTCATGGGAAACGCGCACTTTGAAAAGGTGTTTATGTCCCATAATCTTTTCTACTATTCCAACAGGGAGGGTGTCACATGGATCAACCTGCAATAGAACAGATGCATAGCAAATAGAATTGCTAGATCCATAGAGACATATAGACATACATAAAGTACAAACTTCTGAAATACAAACTCCAAACGATAAACTCTCATAAAGGACACGGTCTTGCATTTCGGCAGCTGAACATCCCACCAATCTACTGAACTCACGATCAAAAATAACAAAAGTGCATGTACCAGACTCATCCTTAACTTTGCAGTGCACCATAAATCTACATAACCAGATGATAACAAAACATGTAACGTAACCCATACATCTAAGTTGAATTTTGCATGATGATAGACGCTTATACTAACTTAGGAAATGCAGTCTCTATTATTTGAGAGCAATTTGGGCAATAAAATCCGCAGCCATCTGTCACAACCCTTCTGTCACAGTTTTTACAGCAGTAATAATACCATCCACGATCAAAACAGATACCAACTATGTCAGCAAGAACTAACACAACTGTATCCTGCATTTAATAAAGAAATGCTTTTACAACACAAGTCAATCCACAGAATATACTTTCTTGTTATTAATATTATTATAGCTTGAACTGGAAAATACATACAATAGGTGCTGAACTTAGCTCTGAAATCTTTCGCCGATCAGCCATACTCAACATTTCATCTGCAATAAAGTTAATGGGCTGTGGCACGATGCGTGTGGGAGCTTCATTGATATCTATGCCCACAGATTTTAACCTGACCAATTTGGAAGATGTATTGTCTCATGGAGGAAAAATGTAAATATTGAATTCAAATGATCTTATGTAGGTAGTACATACTTGGTAATAAAATTATCAACCTCGGGAATTGAAGGATTGATAAAAAGCCGGGATGAAAATATTGAATTTGATATTGTAGACCTCCCTAGGATTTAAAATGAAGATACCGTCAAACAGTTAAAGTTGTGCACGTGGGTATACATAGATCACTAAATGCAAAAAAAAAAAAAATTAGAGTGTGTACTACAACAAACCATGAAACTTGCGGACTTTGCACATCTGTATGATAATTATCACAGGTTCCGACTCCAAGGAGAATGCAAACTCACATATAGCATCCGCAAATGCGCCCCAAAGAGTGCAATCTAAATGCTCCATTCTGCAAATATCGTGGATGCACAAATTAACATTACAATCATATGTTAAAGCAGAACTTTCTAAAAAAAACAAATAACAGAAATTTAAAAAGTTACTCCTCATTAATAAGCTTTATGTCCACCCTTCGATGTTTGCACCCATTAACTTCACACTCATCAATATCGCCCACTGCACTCAATTTTCCAATTACATCTAGATGCAAACCGAAAAGTATTATTTTCATTTTAAATTCACGAAAAAAAGAAATTAATGTAGTCTAGACAAATCAAGAATTATACCAAATAAAAGCTTGTCATCAAAATTAGAACTTAAAATCTGCGTGAAGGATTTGAACACAAATCCAAAGAGATTGATATGGTGGGCATTCATGTATGGCCGCACTGAGGTGGAAGATTTAAAGCTAATTCTATAAGGATGATCTGTAGTCCGATTAGATCCATTATTTGGAACCACGTTAAAAGAATAGATGACGAAGGTTTTTCCTTCCTGCAGACTTCTACGATGACATTTGACGAAACCAGTACGGATAGTGGCATGAATTCGGTCACCCTGTTTTACATACAAAGAGATGTATCTTTAGTGAGAATGAAAATACACTAAACACAGATATGAAGTAATTTCAACAATAGCTTAGCATAGAAATTATAGGCGACGAAGGTTGAAGCTGGACAACTTGCACATCTAGAAGAATCATCTCAATCGATGAAATCTCGTCAGTTGAGTTTCGGGGTGGCATGGGCCACATACGTGCTATCCGAACCATAATGCGCCAATTACATCGAGAAGGATTGATTTCGCAAACAGGATCATAGAGAGCTGCCATGGAGACAGTGGGGAAGGTGCTATCTGAATGGAGTAGGAGTTCTAGTGGAGAAGCTGTCCGATAGGTATACAATGAATGATATTTATACGCACATGTCAACAAACAATACTTACAATATCCTATTATGTCACGATGATAAAATAACTGCCAAGTACTTTACCCACACAAACATGTTTGGATAGATTTCCGTAACTGGCACCCACATTGCCTAATGGCGAACATGCTCAGCCTCCACGTTTGGGTGTGTTTTAAAGTGGTGTCATGAATATATAAAATTTCTTAATTTTATATTTATGATCAGATTGAGTTTAGTGATAAATGGGCATGTAAACAACAGATTAGTATTTTATGTGTTATTATTAAAGCAGTAGAACTAAAATGAACACACAATCAACGACAGTATTCACTGGGTCCACATCTTGAACCCCAAATTTTATAACAGATCGATATACATGTGGTATTTTTTTTAATATCTCAAACCAAACATGTGGTATCAATAAAAATTTAATAATAAATAAAGACATATATGGGTTTTACTTGTATTTCAAATGCCATATTAAATAATTTATTCTGAATCGAAGTATCAGTCTTCAAAATAATCCGGGAAAAATTAATTTGGTAAATGACGCATATAAAATTAATCAATAATAATAAAAAAACATATAATTTTGAATAAAATTCAAAATAATCAATAAAAAAAATTCCCCATGCTATCAATTAGTAGTTCAAGTTATATATACATACAAATATATCATGCATAAAAATAAAAATAATATTATCTTCTGTTTGCATTCCCACTTACATTGACCTACTATATTGACGTCGTTAATGACTTAGCGGGAGAACAGGGAGACTATAATAGATAAATATAAAATCATAATCACTAAATGGGCCTCCATCTGTCATAGAATCAGAGCAAAAGATTTCCAAATTCATGCATGTTAAATACATTGGTGCTTAATATAAGACTTAATTAGAAGGTTGATATTGATACTAAATGTAAAAACTGACACTTTCCAGTAAGCACGCTACCTCTAGGCACCCATGCACATGTACAAGCGAATCACAATGATTCTTATTTTAAATCAATCAATAGTACTCCTCCGGTCCTTAATATAGGACCTAATTCTTAATTAGTTTTGGTTCTAAATATAAGAACCCATTTCTTATATTTATCAATTTTCTCTAAATTATCCCTATGGATACTCCCTCAACTATAATCAAGTAGAAGAGGGAGAGGGGGTATTAAGAAAGATGATTATGGTGTTTTAGGAAAAATGTGTCACTTTTCTTCTAATTAACTAACTTACCTAATTTTCTTAATCTAATCAAATTAGTTAAATGGGTCTTATATTAAGGATCGGAGGAGTAATATTTAGAATTGGTGTTAGGTCTCTAATGATATTAACATAAATAAAATATATTCCTCATATCCTAATTCGGATTTTAAAGTATCTTTGAGCCCGATATATCCACATCCTTAACTTCCCAATAATTTGAATATAAATATACCTTATATTTAGTTGGTAAGTAGCTCTTATTTAATATACAACTATAATATTTATCCCAATGACTTTTTTTTCTTAATAGTAATTGGCAGTTTTTTATTAGTCTAGATATACAAATGCATTGATATTTATTGTACTAAACTGCCGATAAATTTGTAATAAAAAACTGCTGACGTTTCCGGAATTTGTGATTACAGCTCTTCCTATAATTTATCAATTTATACAATATTTTAAATATTATGTGGCATATTAATACAAATAAAATATATTTCCCATATCCTAATTCGGATTTCAAAGTATCTTGGATTCTGATATATCCGCATCCTTAACTTCCCAATAATTTGAATATGAATATACTTTATATTTAGTTGGTAAGTATACTGCTCTTATTTAATATACAACTTAAATATTTATCTCAATGACTTTTTTCCCTTGATAGTAATTGGCAGTTTTTTATTAGTCTAGATATACAAATGCATTGGTATTTATTGTATTCAATTACCGATAAATATATTAAAAAAAACTGACCCACGCTCCCGGATTTTATAATTCTAGCACTCCCTATAATTTATCAATTTATAAATCAAATTAACCGATAAATATATTTAAAAAAAACTTCCTTGCGTTTCCAAATTTGTGATTATATCTCTTTCTATAATTTATCGATTTATAAATCAATTTTAATAATAAGTGGGTAGTTTAAATATTTAGTGCCATAACCACTTGTTTGGTGTATAGTAAACAGTTATAAGCACGATTGGATAAATATACAGCAATATCTTCATAACCAATCTATTCTACGAAATTGCTGATAAATATGAAATAAAAAACTGCCCATGTTTCCAGATTTTGTGATTATAGTTCTTCCTATATTTCAGGTGAAATATATTTTAAAAAAATGCCTTGCGTTTCCGGATTTGTGATTATATCTCTTTCTATAATTTATCGATTTATAAATCAATTTTAATAATAAGTGGGTAGTTTAAATATTTAGTGGCATAACCACTTGTTTGGTGTATAGTAAACAGTTATAAGCACGATTGGATAAAGATACCGCAATATCTTCATAACCAACCTATTTTACGAAATTGCTGATAAATATGAAATAAAAGACTGCCCATGTTTCCAGATTTTGTGATTATAGCTCTTCCTATATTTCAGGTGAATATATAATAGTTTAAATATTATGTGACGTATTAATAGCAATAAAATATATTCCCCATATCCTAATTCGGATTTCAAACCAAACATGTGGTATCAATAAAAATTTAACAATAAATAAAGACATCTATGGGTTTTATTTGTATGTCAAATGCAATATTAAATAATTTATTCTGAATCGAAGTATCAGTCTTCAAAAGAATCCGAGAAAATTTAATTTGGTAAATGACGCATATAAAATTAATCAATAATAATAAAAAATTATAATTTTGAATAAAATTCAAAATAATCAATAAAAAAATTCCCCATGCTATCAATCAGTAGTTCAAGTTATATATACATACAAATATATCATGCATAAAAATAATAATAATATTATTTCTGTTTGCATTCCCACTTACATTGACGTACTATATTGACGTCGTTTTCATATAATTATCAAAACTGCACTGGGATATGTATCCAAAAATTATCAAAATTACATTATATTAAGTAACATTTATTTTTGGTTAAATTTAAACCGTTTATTTATCAAACAACAAACTCTGTTTGTTGATAGTATTATCAATTTTCTACTCAGGTAATATGAAAACCGAACAATTTCAAGAACTACCGAGTCATATATATCAATGAAGATTACCACATTTTATGGATGAGAAATGGGAAATGTGCTGAGCAAGGCAATTAAAGAGGGAAAACTGACTGAACTGGGATATGCATTAAGTAATATGGGCAACAAATCATAGTCTTGCCAATCCAAGCACATAAACATAGAAAACCAAACGAAGTCTAAACCAACATTAAAAGGCTAAAGTAATCAAGAACAACAAAATAGACATAATGTAAGACTGGACAGAAGACACAATATCCGATGTTTAATCTTCAATGGTCAACTTCCGTTTTGCCTTCCCACGACGACGTAAAACCGCCAAGCTATCATCTTTATTGTTTCCTTCACCATCAGCTTCCACATCAGGACCTTGCTCATTCACCTCGATCTTTGAAGATACATCAGCATTTTCTCCAATAGCACCCTTGGATGGGAGCCCAACAACAGCCTCATGCTGAACGTCAGCTTCCATAGCAAGATTCTGAGATGGCATCTTCTCTGCTATTAAATTTTGATAGGAATGAATTATATCCTTATCACTGGTCAAGCGCATAGCGATACATGTGTTTGAATATGTCTTTACATAATCCTCAGGAACACGCAGTTTAAATAAGTATCTCTTCCAAGTGAGGGGCTCTAAGATGCTTGCTGGGATTCCATCTCCATCACCAACCTGAACATACATCAAGAAATCTATTAATAAATAATATCCCACAAGAACATATCAACACTTGAATAAATATATTAATATAGATATACCCCTTCATCACCAAACTGTTTGAGAATGCGGTCCCTCATCTCTGCTGCAGAACAACCAACCATCCTAGAAAACTCTGTCAAATATGACAACGCTGCAGGATCCACTCTCATCCATAACCTCACAAGTAACCATATACCTGTGATAACAATTTAAACCAATAGGAACAAAGTGTCATGCAAGTCCCTCAAACATTCAGAAGTATAACATATGGTACCAAAAGCATTACCTTGGCACGACTGCCTTAATAATGGAAGCACACTTCTCACAAAAAAACCCCTCCCCATCGGGCACCACTTTTTTTCCGCAATGCTTACAAGAGACATACATCCAACCCTTCTCAGTACGGAAGTCTACTATATCTGCTAGAACAGTGCACACACCATCCTACAACAAATAACTAAATATGTAAATATTGAGAAGCAAAAGGCAAAATTGAGAGCATTATGTGAACAATGAATAATAGTAGAGAGAAATAGGAAACACACACCCCAGTTAAAGAACGAAGATAAGATATCTTTCACCTTAATTCAACAGACAGTAACTCATCAGCAACACTCATTGTTGACTGGGGAGCAATCCTAGCCGGAACTTGCCCCACATCGACACCTTTTGCCTTCAATCTGCACCAAGCGAGTTTGTCACCACTTGCTTCCAAAATTAAAAGCAACATATTGGCTTTACATAAATCATGCGCATTAGTCATCACGCTATATAAAATTAATACATAATTGAATGTAGGAAAAAATCTCAGTACTTTACAGATGAAAATTTGAATCACAAAACCATACTTTGACATGAAATGTTCCACTTCAGGAATGGAGGGATGGATGAAGATTCTTGAAGAATACATAGAGTTTGAGATTCTCCTCTTGGCTAAAATCACAACACAAACACATTAGACCCATTGAGGATAGAATTAATTATAGGATTATTCAAAATGTATTGACCATACATTTAAACT